CCCCCAAAACACACACACACACACACACACACACACACCAAACTAGCTCCATTCAAGCCAAGACTTTCTAGTTCCTTTCCCTATTCCCAGTCTCTGCTTCCTTTCAATGCTATCAGCTAATCCCTGGCTGCAATCTTGTTTTACTTATGTCATTATCAGCTTCCCTGGTCTCCAGGAAGCCAGGCTCATTAGTCTGTTATTCAAGTCTCTCCACCATTGGCATTGGTTTACTTTTTCCACTCTTATCAATTCAGATCTTTCCTATACTCATTGGTCTTCTGTTTTAGACTGTTTGCTCCTTTGTTTTTATATCTTTTAGCCCATACAGTGCCTGGTTCCTGGCAGGTACTTGATAAGTGTTTCTCCAATGACAGAAGAAAATTCCAAAACACATCTTAGACTTTCTTTACTCTGCATTATTTTTCTTGCTGCATTTTGCATGCTTGAATTTCTACTTATATGTAACAATCCCTAACTGCTTTAGCTCTACCTTTTTATTTTTCCTCCTTATTCCTAGGGCTCATCTCATACTCAAGGTAGGTGGGATGGGTAGAACCTTACAACTCTATGTGATCTGTTCATCTGCGATCAGGGTGAAAAGTTAAGGACATCCACTTGGGCAGATATTGAGACTTGCCCTGCCTGATACAGGGACCCTGGCTCACTATCTGTAAAGAATTCGGGGTGTTTTTAGTCTGCATGCCAACATAAATTACAGTGGAATTAGATTTTTTAAATTAACGAAGATAGTAAGTACTTAACTGACATTGGGTAAGTAACCATTTTTTTTTAAGCATAAAAGTGATGAATAATATTTGCGTAAAAATTAGAAACTGAAAATATTTGCAGATGTCAATGAATTAAAGTCCTTAATATAAAAGTACTTGTATGTCAATAAGAAATAGAAGAAATGGATAGATGATAAATATGAATTAAAAAAATTAGAATGTCAATAAAAATCACAGTAGAAGAAATATAAGTAGCCTACTGTATAATTGTTTAATCTTGCCAGCAATAATAACAAAAGAACCATCACGTTAGCAGTGGATATTATCAAATTAGCAAAAATTTAAAAAAGTTTTACATACTGACAGCAGTTCTTTAAAACAACCATTTTCACATGCTTCTGGCAGAAATGTATCTTGGTATATAACCTTTGTAAAAAGCAGTTTGACAATACTGGAAAATGTATTTTATCTTTTCACCTGTTAATTTCACCTATTAGGAATTGATCCTAAAGTTATTAATAAGGTCACACAGTGGTCATCTTTTTATCACAGTATTTTTTTAATGTTTATTTATTTTTTATATTCTTCATTTTGTGCATTTTTTTAATTTGAATTGTAATCCCCATGGGCTTCCCACCACCAATACACTTGCATGCCATCACAATAGTCTTGTGCATTCTTCTGACCCCAGTTTTGATCCCATTCCCCTTTCTACTCCCATAAAATATTTCTGGTTTATGTAGTTGTTTGTTTTTACTTTGTTATATTTGCTTCTCTCTCTTTTTTCCCCCCTGGTTCCTTACACTCCTGCTATGAGTGAAACCATCGATATTTTTCTTTTTCTTTCTGGCTTATTTCACTAAGTTTGATCTCTTCCAGATCCATCCGTGTTGCTGCAAAAGGCATATGGTTATCTTTTTTGACTGCTGAGTAATATTCCATTGGGTATATGTACCACATCTTTTATTTTATTTTATTTTTTTATTTTTTTAAAGATTTATTTATTTGTGCATACAGAACTGGGGTACTGGCCAGAGGCTCAGGGGCGGTGAGAGGCTTCACCAGAGACAGAGTGGGGAGCAGAACAGGCAGATCTACGAAATACACTGCTGAGGGGAGCAGCGGGCGGGTCAGGAGAGGTCTGCCACGCCATGTGGTCACCTCTGGGGCAGGCGGGAATCGAACTCATGTGGAAGTGGCTTTAGCTTCTTAGTGCAGTGCTTTAACCTACTGCGCCGCCAGGGAGGGCCTGTGCTACATCTTTTTAATCCAGTAATCTATTTTTCGATATTTGTGTTGATTCCTTGTCTTCCCTATTGTAAATAGAGCAGCAATAAACATGGTGGTGCAGGTGTCCTTTTGAATCAGTGTTGTTGTGTCCTTTGGGTAGATACCTAGGAGTGGGATTGCTGGGTCATATGGAAGCTCTATTTTTAACTATTTGAGAAACCTCCAAACAGCTTTCCATAGTGGTTATACTATTTTGCATTCCCAACAGCAGTGTAGGGGAGTTCATTTTTTTCCATATCCTTGCCAGCATTTGTTGTTGGTTGTTTTAATATGTATCACAGTATATTTTATGATAGGACTTAAACTTAAACTGGAAATCAGTGCCCCTGAGTGAAGAAGCTCTTCCTTAGATGGACAATTATGCAACTATAAAATCACTTTGAAGGATATTTTAAAAAGATTTGTTTATACATACGAGAGGCCAGAGGTGTGCAGAGTGAGAGGATTCACCAGAGACAGAGTGGGGAGCAGAACAGGCAGAGTGACTGAAATCCACTGCTGAGGGGAGCAGCAGGGAAACAGGAGAGGTCTGCTGGGCCCTCTGGGTCACCTCCCTGGCAGGGGATCCAGTGCATGCCAAGTGGCTTCATAGTGCTGAGACTTGTCTCTTTGCTCCACTAAGGAGGTCCCTGATTTTGAGAGAGATTTAAAAGATGTGAAGTATTAAAATATAAAAGTTAACATATATTGCTATATCCACAGTATTGTGATTTGGTATGCACACAAAAATGAGAACTGAAATGTGGCAAAGTAAGTTATCTCTGAGTAGTATGATGGGAGTGATAATTCCCCTCCCCCCCCAATTTTAGACAATGTTATTTTTTTATGGGGATGGCATTAAATCTGTATATTGCTTTTGGACACATTATTTTTCAGCTAAGAATACATGTTATTTAAAATGTAAGTCTTATTGACTAGAGGCACTTGGCAGAGTTTCAGAAAACAGGTGTTAGTCATGCAGGCCTGGACTTGGCTTACAGCTCTGACCTGGATTTATTGTCTGATAAAACACTCAGGTTACTCTTCTGAGGCTCTGTTTCCTCATCTGTAGAATGGGATGCCTAATACCTAACTCAGAGAATTGTCATGATTAGAAATGATAATGTGTATGACATCCTTTAAAAAATTAATTTCCGGGCCCTCCCTGGTAATGCAACAGGTTAAAGCACAACACTATGAAGTGATTTGCAGCCACTGCAGCATGAGTTCAATTCCTGGTCAGGGAGGTGACCCACATGACACGGCAGACCTCTCCTGGCCCGCCCGCTGCTCCCCTCAGCAGTGTACTTCATCAACCTGCCTGTACTGCTCCCTGCTCTCTGGTGGGTCTTCTTACCCTCCACACCTCTGGCCTGTACCCCAGTTCTTGTATGCATAAATCAATAAATCTTTAAAAAAATCAATCTCCGCTTTTATATTAAATCGGTCTTCTTTTGTTTCCCACTGAATGCTGTTAATAACAAAGACATTCTAGTAGTCAAAACTCAAATGAATTCAGATACCAAACTACTAAGTATGTAATTACTCTGTGAGTTGCAGATTGATCATAAATTTCACTAAAATAAAATTTGAATAATTAAAATGTAATTTAAATTTTCTGCCAAGAAAAATACTGCTTTCATTCTTGCCAATCTTTTCCAGTTGTTAGGCTACCACTATTGATGCTCTTATTCCATGGATATAACAGTCCTTTGTAATCTGGGTTTCATGAGAAAATTAAGCCCTACTGTCCTCAAGCATCCATTCAGTTCTTGTATGTCTCTACAACGGTACCAGTTATGTGCCATTCTTGGGGGGCATTGAGAATACAGCCCCCTAAATCAGTGTTCTGTGTTTCAGAGGAGGAACCCTGATTAGGGATGCCAGACACATAGCAGGCATTCAGTGAATGGTAGCTGCTTCTGTTGTCCTTGTAGATGTCGCATACAAGAGCAGTGGAATTCTGGATTTCTTTACTTGGCGTAAGCTTCTTTAGGAAGGATGTTTCCCAAAGTGTGAGCCAGGAAGTGGACATGCTATGGCTGTGTCTCAGGCTTGTCTTTGGATATGGGCTGACAATAGCTACAGGTCCCGGCAACTCCGGCAACTCCTTTGTGCCCACTTGTAGTGCACCAGCCTGTTTGTCCACTGCAGGGCGCCAGAGTACTGCCTCCCTCTGAATAGTGCTTCAGGATGTTAGTTCTTGCTCCTAACTATACTTATACCAGAAGACTTACTTATTCAGGACTTAGGTTTAATGCTTTTTCACAAATTGCTTTTTAGTAATGCACTCACTTCTGGGTGTTTGTAACTTCTCTTTTGGGATATAGGACATTTAAAAAATACTGTTAAAAATGTCTTAATATGTTTTCTATTAATATATTCTCATGATTGCTTTTTATATTTTTTAGCTACTGATCTACTTCTTGCCTGGAATCCCATTTGTTTGGGGTTGGTGGAAGGTGTTATTGGGAAAATTCAGCTTCACTCAGGTATGTTTCTATAGATTCTTTAAACTGGCCAATCTGTTGTAGTTTATCACCTTTTTGCATTCTGTTGCCATTCTATCACATTTTTTAAAGTAACATTGTTGTGTATCTTTGGAAATCAATGTATATAGTACATTAAGTTCACAATATGACGTTCTTCTTTGGAGATAAATATAGATTCTATTATGACTGATTTGTTTGCCTTAGTTTTGGGTCTGCCCCAAATAGGTGTATTTTCCATTAAGATTTACAAAATAAAACTAAAGCTTTAGAAAAAGAGTAGCATAATATTACAGTCCTTTCTTCCTTAAAAAAAAAAAAAAAAAAACCCACCATTTATTGACTACTTACTGTGTGTGGAGAATCGCACTAGTTGACAGAACACAGCAGTGAGCATAAACTGACCCCCTCCCCACCCTTGTGGAGCTCACAGTTTGGGAGGGAAGACAGACCCCATGCATAGTCATGGAAACGAACGTATTATTTGAAAAATGTTCTAGTGTTCTGATGGAAAGATACACCGCCTGACCGATTCCCAGGGAGAGAGTAGTGGGAATAAGCTAGAGAGGTGGGCAGGCGGCAGACCCTGACTGGGTGGCTCCAGGTCAGCTCTCTATCCCTGACACAGTCAGCCTGGCCAGGGGAGAGTATGGGTGCACAGTGTGTGTCCTTTCTGGGAACCCGCTCCAGAGCAGACAAAGAATGGAATGTCTAGGTCATTTCCCAGACCCTTGCTTGGAAGGACAGACAGCTATGTTCCGGTTTAGAGGAAATTTTGTTGGTGAGAAAACAGATGTTATACAGACAGGTCCCAGAAAGTCCTGAAAAGGACTAAATGAAATAGTTTAAATAGCTCTTTTCCCCTTGGTATCAATTTTACTGAGTTATGAACTCCAGTAGGCTGTGTTGTTATTGCTGTGTATAATCATGAGTATAACCATCTCTGCCGTGTACTCTTTTTTATTTTTTCAAAATGCAATTAGATGGATTTCTGTGTATTATGTTGGAGAAAATCTAATTTTTCTTTGCTAGAGTCTCAAGTTCTTAAAAATTTGTTTTTTTTCATGAAATATTTTACAGGCATAAAAATCTGTTTATCATAGATATGCACATAGGTTGCTGTAAAACAAGCACATAGCCCTCCAACCCAGGTTAAGGAGTAAAACGTGACCAGGGGCTTTGGTGCCTTGCTGTACCTGTTGCCAAGTGTATCCTCTTCCTTTCCTGCAAGAGAACCTGTGGTTTTGAAAACATTATATTTATTATAATTCCCTTGATTTTCATTTTGCTTTCATCTGTACCCCTAAACAATTAATGCTAAGATTTTGTGTCTTATACTTTTTTCCCCATTCAGTTTTATAATTTTAAGTCTTACCCATGTTGTCATATGAGGCTTTAGTTTCTTATTGTCAGAATTATATGACTATATAATAATTTGCCCCTTTTCCTGTCATTGGGCGATTATTTTGTTATTTTTTCCTATTAGAAATAACCATCTGTGAGCATTATTGTATGTTCTGTCGTTAGTAGTTTTTTAGTCTTTTAATACGAAGGAGAAAGCGTTTAGACATTGTGTAACCATGTTAAGTATTAGGTTAATATTCTTCTACCTGTCTACATTTACATACATATATTTGTAATTCATTTATATGCTGACAGGATAATTTCACTGCTGAGTGTTCTGAGCTGAAATTCATTTTCAGTTATTTAAATGAAATGTGAAACTTAGAGTTGTTTTTCTTCAATTTTGGGCACATCGTGGAGCAATGAATATTTCACTACAGTCAGTCATGAGACCTTGGATTTATTTATTAACTTTTAGATTCTGGGGAAGTTACTTAACTTGCTTTATGTATCTCTTGCTGTATAACCAGATCCCTCAAAGTTAACTCTTAAAACATCAACAAAGTGTAGATTGACCAGGCCATTCTGCTCTGCTCTGCTGTCAGCATGGTGATCTGTGTGCAGTGTCCAGCTGGGGGTTTGACTGACTCTTTTCCTTCATGTGGCTTCTCTCTCCACACAAGACCTCTTATGGGTTGGGTCCTCTCTGTCTTTCTCTCCTGGGTTTCTAGACATCCCCTTGGTTGGTGCCTTGGGGTCAAGAGACAAGTCCCAATGTGCAATGGCTTATCAGATCTCTGCTTGCATCACTGGTCTTGCTTCTATTCCATTGGCCAAAGAAAGCTGCATAACACTGCGTGTGAGTAGGGATGTTCTAAGTGTGTGCACTGCTTGAGCTGGTTGAATGGGGATCATAACACCCCTCAGCCTCTTCCTCATCAACTGTCAGGCAACTTCCCAAAGAGCGTGTTATGAGTCTCGAATGAGATAATTTACCAGAAGGTGCTCAGTAAATTATAAACCACTATTTAATCAAGATTGTTTTGGTTGTAAATACAAATCTGTCAGCTTGTGCAAAAACCAAATTTTTATCAGGAATCCAAGTTACCACCATCAGCAAGCAGATGTTATAGAGGACCCAAGATTAATCTTTTGGATGCAGGTGGCCTCTGACTCCCTGTCCCTTTACATCTCCTTTAGTCTTCTTCTGTCTTGGCTTTCTCTGTTTTGTGCTTGTAGGACAAGATTTCTGCCTGTAAATGGTACTTTCCCTTCCCCTCAAGCCAGTCAACATCTGGTCTTCCCTAACACCACTAGAAACTGGCCAACCATCAAGATTGAGGAAAAAAAAAAATGGCAAAAGTTACACAAAACTTAATAAACAATGTAATCGTAATTTCCTAAAAAAAAATCTTTCTTTGCTTGTATGGTAAGATAAATATCATGTAATCTCATGATTTTCCAGCTCTCGCTGGAATTAGAGATCTAGAAGGCAAGTTGCTGATCTGTTGGTAATTTTACATCCTAGAATACCGGTTCCAAGATAATACTTCGGAGGCAGATCAGCTTTGATACTTTCCAGATGGTGGCCTTGTCAGCTTTTACAAAACTTGAATAAATAAATTGCCAGTTAACCTGAAGAACTTTCCTTAAATTATCAAAGATCCCTACACACAAGATGCTCTGTTATCTGCAGAGTTTCTGTGAGACATTTTATTCTAGAGCAGCCAGGAGAGAGGACAGCAATTATATCACAGAGTATGGAAGGTAGAGTTGAATTCAGGAGTGAGTACAGCTAACCTTGACTTTCATTAGCTTTGATACAGTGTGTAATTTGATATTGCTATCATATGTGCTCTCACCAGATTTTGTTTCTTCATCCCTAAGTGAAGTACTGGGATGTACATTAGCCACAAAGGTCCTCTGGAGATCTTATGTATCCAGGTTAACGATTTTTAAAAAAGATTTATTTTTATTTATACAGAGAAGAGCTAGGGTATAGGCCAGAGAGGTGCAGGGGGTGAGAGGTTCACCAGAGACAGCGGGGAGCAGAACAGATGGAGCTACTTAGATACCCAGCAAGGGGAGCAGCTGTGAGACAGGAGAGGTCTGCTGGCCATGTGGATCACCTCCCAGGCTGGGATGGAGCTCAGGCTCAGTGGCTGGCAGTGGCTGGCCACAGCTTGATAGTAATGAGACTTAACCCCTGCACCACCAGGGAGATCCAGGTTACAATTTGAGTTGAATAGTAGCAGTGAGTCAGGGTCAGACCCTTATGATACACTTTTCATGGCCACCCTGGACCAACAACCTGTCCTGGTCAGGAAGTTCAGACACGCTTCAGAAGTCCGTTCTTTCAGGCTGGGGGCAGTGGGGGTTGGGGAGCAGTCAGAGCAGGAGGGTTATATAACCCCTTGGCAGAGAGCCCACAAGCTACCTACTGTGAGCAGTGCACAAACAGAATTAGTGGTTGAGTTTATTTGCACTGAAACCCTGGTCATTAGGAGGTGGAGATGGTGTGGTGGTCTCCTGTGGCCAGCCCTGTTTTCTTCCTTGCACTGTGTGCCTTTCTTTGGACCACACACAGCTGTTTAGTAGACAGTGTTGGAACCTGTTTATAGAATATTTGGAAGAGGGAAAGACAGAATAATATTTTTCCCAGTAATAATATTTTCTGAAATAATGTCCAGTCAACTAGAGAAAGAAAATACAAAAGGAAAAAAAGGTAGGGCAAATGTCTCAGTTTTTCTCTCTTCTGATCTCTATCTTTGTGGTTTTTTCTTCTAAGGTGTGCTCTTTAAAAAGGGAGCAGGAGGAAGCAAAGGACACTTTTCTGGGCCCTCTGCTGCTGCTCTTCCCTCACCTGGGAGAAAACTGCACCCCTGCCCTCTGCAAGTTCCTTGCCTCTTTGAGCATCTCTCTTACTCCTCTCTTCCTTCTCTTCATCCTACTACCAGGGGCCTCACCCTTTACCCTCCCTGTGCCCATTAAAGCTTTTGCTTTGGACGCCCTGTCAGCTGGCTGACTGAGGTGCTCTGGTGTGTGTTAGAGCTGGGATTGTTCACTCGGGGCACTCCCCATGGGAGCATCTTACCTTTCTGGTCTCTGTTTTCCTCCTACTTACTCTCTACATATTAATGCATGATTTTTGTTCTTGCCTAATGAGATGGGAACATAAATTTATTTGAATAGATGTCATTGACATCTGAAAAACGGCGTAGGTGAGTCATGCCTCTGTTCCTGACTGGCATTTCACGCTGAGCTCTTTGGAATGTAAGCTGTCGTGATTTAGTTTGCTGGGGTTACCACTGCAAAAAGACTTGACAGTAGAAACAATGGGAAGGTGTTTTTCATAATTCTGAAGGCTGTGTCTGCAGGGCAGTTTTTTCTGAGGTCTTTCTCCTTGACTTGGCTGTTTTCACATCCTCTTCGGATCTTTGTGACTCTGTCTCCAAATTTCCTCTTACCAGGCCAACCATCATAATAGATTAGGGTCCATCCTAATGACCTCATTTTAATTTTAGTTACCTTTTTAAAATAGGGTTACATTATGAGGCACAGGGGGTGGGGACCAATATATGTGTTTTAAGGAGATGTAATATAGCCCATAACTGGACTCTAATGTCCACTGGCACATCAGAGAGTCCCACCATTGCTCC